GGGCAGCCATGGCAGTCCAGGAAAGGGAGAGACAACACGGTACAAAATGTGCAGTTAGCTTTTAATTTATTTCAATGTTATCTTACTTGTATGTGTACATCTGTGTACGTATGTCTGTGTGAGGGTGTGTGAGGGTGTGTGTGGGTACCACAGAGGCCAGGAGAGGGTGTCAGATCCCTTGGAGTTGGAGCTACATGCTTTGGTAACCTGCTGGACATGGGTGCTGGAAACTCCAGTCTTTAGAATCAAGCAGCAAGTACCATCCCTCCAGCCTTGCGGCTGGCTTGTAAAATGATCATTTAAAAATGCTTTTCCTGAGGAATAAAAATGCCTGGAAACCTGGCTTAGCTTCATTTGTGGTTGTGACATTCAATGAGAATATAAGTTTTTAATTATTTATCACTGAAAATCAGAATTATATCTTTTAACCAAAGTCAATAAGACCAAACTAAAACAAGATATTTTACTTGGAAGGTCTTAGTGGGTAAGAAAAACCAATAGACTCTTTTTTGTTCTGGGATATGCCTTTCTGCACAGGGGTTTAGGGGTGATGTATGCCAAGGTCCTATGCCAGCTTTAGTGAACAAACCAGTATGAGGGTACATATTACATTTGGGGTGACAAAACCAGAGTTTTCTAATCATCTTTTGGTTTTATATATGTTGAGCGCACAGCCCATGCTCTTCCTAATTCTGCACCCTGCTGTTCCATCCTTTCGTTGGTACCCAGATGAGATACCCAATAACAATGCGCTGGGAATGGACAAATGCATCCGTAGCCCCAACCCTTGGGACCACTCTACTTTAGGCTAAGTTACTCTACTGTCATTCAACATCTGGGATGATTTCCTTTTGTTCCCTAAATCCAATGGAAAGCTAAGTCTTCCCCCCAGCCTGGCCCAAGGTGAATTGCTCAGGGCCTTAGAATAACTTTTTTTTTTTTTTTAAAAAAAAACCTATGATTTCACATTATTTATTTGATTTCAAAACAAGCAATATATGACCTATTGCAAATAGTAGACAATACCAAAAGCCAAAGGAAATGAACTCTAATTCCCCTGAAAAAACACTCATGGCTCAGGCAAGAGGAAGCCAAGGTCTAGAGTTAAAGGAAGACGGACTTGCCCAGGGTCTCATGTGCCCTTTGTCCTCAGATCTGAACTGTGATTTTAGAAAGCCCTCGATTCCTGGTTTGACCATCTGTTTCCTGCACACACCCTGTGCTAGCCCGTGAGATCCGGCTAGATTATCAAGCCTAACTTTCACTACTTGCTGTAAATGATCAGGGTTTTTTTTTGTTTTTTGTTTGTTTGTTTGTTTGTTTGTTTTTTTTTGTTTTTTGTTTTTTCCCAAATGCTGAAGGGATTTACCTAATTCTAATATAGTGTAACTGTATAGCACACTTTGAAACATGAACAGGTCAACGCATACAAATATAAGGCCAGCGTTAAGCTAAGCAGGAACGCAGTCTAAACAATATCTGGATAAATTAGTATATATTTGTTCTAGGTCACTGAGGAACCTGATTAAGCTTTAGTGTGTAGGCTTTTGACAGTCGACATTAGCAGAAAATAAATCCTTGTCCTTCCAACGTCGTCACCCCCCTGCAGAGGATGAATTCATCAGCTGTGTGGTCAGTCTGTAGGTAGGGTTCCAGCAGTGAGAAAATCAGGCTTACTCTCTCTAAATTACACTATGGCTCAAACCACTCTGAGATGGTTCTCTCGTTCTTCTCATCGGCTTCCTATTTGCCTACCGACACGGTGAGCAAAGGGGCGGAAGAGCTCTATGCAAGGTGATGCTGACAATGCTTTCCTCCCCAAAGCCCCAGCTTTCTGCAGGCTGTTCCTCTGCTCCCCTGTTCTCTTGTTCCCAACAGTCCTTTGAGAAACACATGGGTCTGTCTGCTGATCACCATCCCTTCTTCCGTCTCTGTTCAGACTTCAACTTGATTGGTTCTCAGCAGACATTTGTTGGGAAAAGAGCGAGCCCAGGAGAACCCAAGGCCAGCTAGCCCTGCATTGGACAGGAGGTATGTTCCTCTCATGTCCACTCATCCGACCCATCCCTGGTTTAACCCATCCATCCCTGGGCTCCCTCCATCTCTCTGCTAATTTGCTTCCTGTGATAGTTTCCATTATGCCCTTATGATCTCTTACTCTTAATATTGGCTTTTGGGGTGCAGGGGGGATAAGACTTCAGCTTTTATGGAGCCATGACAGTAGGTTTTCCCCCATGCACCTTTCTTATAAGATTTTCTCTTTCTTTCTAAATAAAACAATCCAAGTTTCCTGTCTTCAAACATCTGGAGAAAATCCCCAAGTTCATGTAGTTTCTACCTGAAATTCAACACTATTCCCGAGACCACCAAGAATGGAGTCTCCTCACCTTTCCCCACTGGGGACCAGGCAGAGGTTTTTCTTGGAGATGTCTGATAAATACATGTTGGGAACGAATGAAAGCATCCATAGCCCCGACCCTGGGAACCACTCTGTTTCAGGCTAACTTACTCTACCTCCATGCAGTATCTGGGACTTAACAATCTTTGGTCTTTCTGTGAGTTTCCCTTTTTCCTGACAGATTTGCTAGTTGCTATACGGGATCTCTTTCCTCCTAGTCACTGCTCTGACTCAGGCTCTCGTGACCAGAGAGATACTTGATGCCAACTCTGCTGGTCTCAGCGTATCTGTATACGCTGAGTCCTTGGTACTCAGCTTTCACTACCATGCTCCTCCCATACAGCCCCCTTGTTAAGGGTCCAAGATGCCTAAGACCTTTCTCTCAAGCTCTCTGCTTCCTCTCTGCAGCAGGTCCTTTCCGCCTTGAGCTTACGTGGCTCATTTCCTCACCTAGTCAGCCCCCTCTGCCCCGCCTCTTTTTTCTATTGATGAACTGTATTTTTCATTTCAGGGTCACAGAGAAGTGGAAATGACAGAGTTGCCATATTCTCTTTGTCCCCTCCCCAGCCTCCGCCATTATCTACACTCCACACACAGTGTCAGACCTGCACAGTGGATGCCATAGCTGTATTCATGTGTCATTTCACCCTGATTCCACAATTTGCACTAAGTTCAAGCCCAGCAACATGCATCTGCCATCACAGCATCTCACAGATGGTTTTGATAGTCATGTTCCACCCACACGTTCTCCCTCCCTCCCTTTAGCTCCTGGAAACTGGTGTAGGACAATTGTCTATACTCTGTCAATTATGTTTTAAATAAACACTGATTGGCCAGTAGCCAGGCAGGAAGTATAGGTGGGACAACCAGACAGGATCAATGGGTCAATGAGAACAGGAGAATTCTGGGAAGGAAGAAGCCTATTTTTCCCCAGTCCTGTTCAGACACAGAAGAAGCAAGATGTGACCTGCCCTGCTGAAAAAGGTACTGAGCCATGTGGCTAACATATAGTAGAATAATGGACTAATATAAGTTATCAGAGTTAATAAGAAGCCCGAGCTAATGGGCCAATCAGTTTATAACTAACGTAGACTCTCTGTGTGATTTTCTTTGGGACCTAATGACTGTGGGAACCAGGCAGGACAGAAACCCAGACAACAGGCAACCACTGGTCCTTTTGCTATTTCTTTCATTTTGTGTGTCTTAAATTTTTACAGATTAACTCTTATTTTTGAGTGTGGATAGATACATCCTGTGTGGTGGACACATTCCCCCCCCCCCATCTTCCCTTCTTCCCTTTCCCAAACTCTCTCTCCTGGTTGGGATAACTTCCATTTTATCATCTCCATCACTGCTTCCTCCAAAGGTTGCCGCATCCCGACCCCCAGACTATTCTGTGACAAGTTTCTTCTCGGGGTGATGATTGCCTTTCCTGCTCTTGGCATTGATCTTTATTCCCAGCTATGTACTTGTGTCTGCTACTCAGGTAGTGAGGATGGTTAAGAGTATCACTAATAATAATAACAACAGCTATTAGCTGTGCATACGATGTGCCAGCCACGTGGGGAGGGCTATTTGTATAGCTCAATAATCTTCGTGACAACCACAGAAGCTGGGTAGATATTATGCTGATTTTATATAAGACAACGGTGACTTAGCGGTCACTTGCTCAGAGCCACGCAGCTAAGAGGCAGAGCTATGATGTGCTCCCTGGTCCACAGCGCAATGACGCATGCATAGACATTCCATGACTAGCCAAGCTCATTCAAGGCCAGACTTTCCATTGTCTTTAGGATTCTTCCCTCAGGTCCGTAGAAGAGAAGAGCATGAGAACAGGGTACTTTTGGTTACAGGTTTCGGTTTTCAGTCTTGCGCTCCAAACGGGGGTCACTTGCATCCACCGTGCTTTGAATCTGTGCACCGGAGTTACTGGCATGCAAAACCACGTAGCAATTTTCTCCTTGTCAATGCCTGGCCTGCTTCCCTTAAATATCTGATCACAGGCACTTTAGATGCCCCCGTCCTTCGGTCACGTTTCCACCCTGTATGTCACATGTCAAGGCTTCATTTTTTTCAACCTGCTTTCCAAGCCACCACCTCAAAGGCCTTATATATTACGGCAGCTTCCAACTGCACCCTCCCCCCAGTAACTCAGACCACCAGTACTAATCTTCCTGATGCAGATGACCAGGTGTGGACTTTCCAATAAGAAGAAAATCTGAACTAAGACTCTATGGGACTTGCTAAGCGCCTCCCAATCGTCAGTATTCAGATTCTCTGCCATTTCAATATTATTAGTGCCTTTAAGCCTTCATTCATGCCTTGCTGTTATCATTACAAACTCCACAGTGGACACAGCCTTGGTAAAAACACAAAATTCGATTCTTCTCCAATCTCCATTTTTTTTTCTTGAAAATTGCCTATTTTCTCTTTTTTGAGTGTAAAGTTTAGACTTTTAACAGGAAAACTCCTTTACATCCATAACTACTTTACAAATTGTTTGATGTGCAATATGGCCACACTTGGCCCTTCGGAGGGAAGTCACTATGACTGGAAATGAGCCCTGCCGATAACGTGAGTGTCCGTCAACCTGGACTCTTACCTCTCCGCTTCCAGCCGCATCTCCTCCCTCTTTTGCCTCCTGAGTTCTCGGCGACGTTCAAAGTCATCCATAGTGAGGTTGCAGGTTTAGGGAGCCCAGATAATATCTGGATCTAAAAGGAAAGAGGCAGAGTCTGGATCACCAATGAGGCATGAGCCCCTGCCTTAGCTCCTCCCATTTTCACCCCTCCATCTTTTCTTTATTTTTAGGAAAAATACCTTTGAGTACTGAAAAGTCAATTCTCATTCTCAAAGTACTAAAGAAAAGTCAGAGTCCAGGATCACATTTAGAAAGCAAGAAGGACTCACAGGGGACAAATATTGACCAAGTGACTTCAGAACGACTGAATGGTCTCGTCCTTTGTCACTCGTTGAACCCCAGACAACACACAAAAATGCACAGAGAGAAAAGCAAGAGGGGAATAAAGAGAGGAAAAGAAAACTGGCAAGAAAAGAAATACGTAGAGAGTAGGCAGAGTAAAAGAGAACTCAACAATTCTGCCTGCATGCATTTGCATATTCTGAAAGTGTTAGTATTGGGATATTTTTTAAGTCTGCAGAAATCATAGGAGAAAAAAATATCTCCAGGACGCAGCAGTCTGGAAGGCCGCTCAGTCTTCGGAGCTCAAAAATCCCGGCTCTCTCCAGATGTAATCCAACCATTTTACCCTTTCCTACCTCCTCGGAGATGGTTTTGATTCTGGGAAGAATTTTCAGCCCTTCAAATACCAAGCCTGCTTCCCTTGTGTATCTGTGCAATGCAGTCAAATGTTCCAGAATTCCCCCACAGTCCCCAAACCCAAAATGACTCCCAGGAAAGGGGAAGCGGGCTCCTGTCCTCGCTTTGTTTACGGAGCTGTCAGTGGTTAGTTAAACTAGCCTGGAATCTAACATTTAAGGTCTGCTGGAAGATTGCTTCCTGTGTGAGGCAGGAGGCCTCCACTTCCTCTGGATTCCTCGGCACTCGCACTGGCTGCACCCAGATCACAAAAATGCTTTCCAGCACCTTCTATGCAGATGAGATGAGGCACTTGTCCTGTGCAAGAAAATCAGGATGGGAAAAGCCAGGCCCATGACAAGATGGCAGCTTTGTTTGAAAACGAGTTCAGAACAAAAATTGAAATAAATTGGTATAAAAGTATTTTGCCCTCACTACTTGTATAGTTCATAATAACAAAAATCAAGTCTCAGCCAATAAAAACAAAACCATGCAATGCTTGGATTTTTTTCCCTCACTTTCTGCATTCTCTGAGGTATTAAACTGTTTATGATTCTTTAGAAACTTGATTTGGGGGTTTTATTGGAGTTTTTAAAAATCTCCAATTGTTTTGCTTCACTCTGACAAGAGAGTTGCAGTCATGAAGGAAGCAAGGTTTTCTTTTCTCATTTCACCAACCAGAAAGGTCTTTTTCAGACCAGCTGTGGCGGGACATGCATGCAGTCAAGGACTCGGGACACTGAAAGTCCAGCTGGGGCTAAAGAGTGGAGTGGGAACCTAACTTGGAGGGGAAAATAGAAAGCTCTCTTCCAACTAAGGCCCTACAACTTTATACATTTTCTAGTTTGAACTCTCTATAATTATTAGAATAAAAAATAAAAGTGATTTGAGGGTCTTTATGAGGTCACCTGAAAACTTTTCTCCCGCCTTCAGTTCTGCCCTCTTACTCCCCACCTCTTATTACTTACTTGAAGGCCATTTTTCTTTCCTAACCATAGAGAAACTACTTAAGATTTGGGTATAGGCTGGATATGTACCTGTGGGCACGGGGGGGCGGGGGAACCACAAAAGTGTTTTATCATGCAACTCTGTGGACTCAGTGCCTTTGTGGAGGATGTTCTGTGGATATCTGGTAGAAAGCAAAAACTCATCTGTGTACTGTTTGATACAACTCTTGGTTGTTGGGTGTGTCTGTGTGTGTGCATGTGTGCACGCTTATGTGTGGGTGCTTGTACATGTGTTTATGTGTGTGTGTGTTTACGTGTGCTTATGTGTGGGTGCTTGTACATGTGTTTATGTGTGTGTGCTTGTGTATGTATTTATGTATGTGTGCTTGTGTGTGTGTGCTTATTTATGTGTGGTGTGTGTTTATGTGTGTGTGTGTTTATGTGTATGCTTGTGTGTGTGCTTATGTGGGAGTTTATTTATGCATGTGCATGTGTGTGTATGTGTGCTTGTGTGTATTGTATGGCAGGGAGGTGCATTTGTGAAAATGGCTCTTGGCTGGTCATAAGCAGAACATTGTACTATTCCTGTGTAGGAGAAGCCGTGTCTAGGTAGACTTTTAAGTGATCCCCCCTTCTTTGGGGAGCAGCAGCACATGTCTCTTTATTTCCTCCCTCCCCCCCCAAGCCGGTGCTGAATACTCTCCAGTAAAATTGGATAGGAAGTAACTCACAACAAGCAGGGTGATGAAATGTCCAGGCAGAGAGAGTTTAGTAACTACGAAGCTCTTGGGTGCCACAAGAGAGACAGGCAAGCTAAAGGAGGAATCCATAGATGAGACCGACATTCCTGACAAACTTTAGGGAAATCTAAATGTGGGCCAGGGATTGATTACTGTATTTGTCTTTCCAATACAGTTTCCCACATTGGGCTTTTTAAAGGCTGGCGTGCTCCCCGATTAAGGAGTAACTGGATGCTTCAGGTTTTAGAAAACGTGGATGCTTCAGGTTTTAGAAAACGTGGACACTGTCTTCTCCTTGGCTAAAGATTCTACAGAGCTCATGGTCCAGGAGAGAGGCAGGATGGGACCCAAGTCCTTTCCTCCATACCTCACCAGCACCTCAGGGGCTCCTGAGCCTCCCTTTCCTCCCCTTTCTATACTTCCAAAGGAGGTAGGTGTGGGGGGTCCTTCTGTGTATGTGTTGCTTTTATTAGCTAATGAATAAAGCTATTTTGACCAGTGGCTTAGTAGAGTAAAGCCGGGTGGGAAATCTGAAGAGAGAGAGAGAGAGAGAGAGAGAGAGAGAGAGAGAGAGAGAGAGAGAGAGAGAGAGAGAATAGGCGGAGTTAGAGAGCTGCCATATAGCTGCTGAAGGAGAAGGACACATCAGAACCTTAGGAACCTTACCGGTAAGCCACAGCCTCGTGGTGATACACAGATTGATAGAAATGGGTTAATTTAAGATGTAAGGGCTAGCTAGGAATAAGCTAGAGTCATTGGTTGAACCATGTTGTAATTAATATAGTTTCTGTGTGATTATTCGGGTCTGAGCAGTTGGTAAATGAACGCAGCCTCTGTTTACAGATAGGGGTAGTATTTTTGTGTATTCTTCCTGCTCTTTCCTCCTCCACTCCCCCTCCTGTAGCTGTGGCTGACCTGGAACTCATAGATACCCTCCTGCCTCTGCATGACTTTGCTTCTTCTCCATCTCTTACCCTAGATGGGGAATCAAAGCACATCCATATCCAGTAAATCAAGTATGATGCTTTTCCTCAAAAATTTGAGTTCTATTTTTGATTAGTATCTTTTAACTGTAGGAGCCAGCCATGATAAATTAAATAGAAACAGACCACCCAAAGGAAGTTCTTTACTTCCAACCATTATCACCTGCCAATGTAGGACTCAGCCATCGATAAGCTTAATAGAGGCCTGAGTCTCAGTAGTTTACCCTGAAGCAATACCTGGTTGCAAGAAAGACCATAAACTAAGATTACCTGAGCACCACCCAAAAATAGACCATCCAAAGAAAATGCCTAATGTTCTGCTGTAGATAAGATCACCTGCCAGCACATACTCACCAGGTCACCCTTAGACAAATGTCAGCCAATCAAGGGTCCTGAACCTCAGAAACCCCTCAGCCCCACCTTTACTACTATAAAAACCCAACTCTAACTGAGCTCGGGGCTCTCCATTTATTCCAATACACTGGACATGTGGAGAGACCGAGTTTGCAAACTTGCAAAAATAAAGGCTTTTTGCTGTGACTTACGGGACTCAGTCTGCTTGTTGGCTTTTGGAGGATTATGCAGATTTGGGCATAACATTAATCAAGAAATTAAGTGTTCTTTTATAGGTTGTGTGCCCGTAAGTATGCAGATGTGTGTAAGGGTGTGTGTATTTGTGCATGTGTGTGTGTGTGTGTGTGTGTGTGTGTGTGTGTGTGTGTGTAGGCCAGATATTGATCCTTGGCCTTTTTAAAAAGGCAAAAGACATTTGTTCATTAACAATGATACATTTTAGAATCACAGCACAGCAAAACAAATGTTTCTCCATGTTTTCAGATGCCTTGGTTGTTCTTCTTTGAGATTCAGGAGCAATCAATGTTATTTCCAGTTTTCAAAATTAAGGTGTTTTCAACATCTAACAGTTTTCATACCTTATCACTTGAATGGCTAAAACTCATACCTAAAGAGTGAAGTACACATACCAGCTGTGGCAATACATGTCTTCAATTCCAGCACTTGGAAGGCAGAGGTAGGGGGAATCTTTGTGAGTTTCAGGTCAGCCAGAGCTACATAGAGAAATCTTGTCTCTCTACCACTTCCTCTCCAAAACCCCCAAAGAGTAAAGTACATTAAGTTTGGTAGTACTTAGGAAGAACAGCAGCCCATAGACCCTATTCCTCTTCCTAGCTCTTTGTAAGGAGTGTTTCCTGTCACCTACGACCTATTTATTTTTAGACAGTCTCACATTGAATCTGAAGCTCACCAGTTCAGTCAGACTAGCTGGCCATCAGGTCCCAGGGTTCATGCTCCCATCCACCCCTAGGGATGGGATTACACATATAGTTCTCTTTGTCCAGCAATTTGATCAGGTGCTGGGGGTCTGAACTCAGGTCCTCTTGCCTGTGTGCCAAGCATTTTACAAATTGAACTTCTCCCAGCCCTAAAAAATCTTCCAGTATTTTCTTTTACATTTATAAGGTTGTTGTTGTTTTCCCCCGTGGGCATATGGCCTCACTGTGTATGTTTCCGGAAACTCTTTTAAAGGATTGAACCCAATTCTTTTTCTGTATGGGTCAAATTCTGTGGCAAGCACAAGCCACCTTAGACATGTGTGTGTTCACATGCACACACATGTATAGACAGCATAAAACAAGAAAAGGTCACGAGTAGGTGAGTTTCCAACCTAGCACTCAATTATTAGGGAAGGGGGCCTTTGTAGAGACA